TTTTGTTTTTGTTTTTTGCTTAGTCTTGCTTTGGCTATGAGTGCTCTTTTTTTGGTTACATGTGAATTTTAGGATTTTTTTTCTAGTTTTGTGAAGAGTGATGGTGGTATTTTAATGGGAATTAAATGCAGGCACATCCCATGCTCATAGATGAGTAGAATTAATATTGTGAAAATGATGATACTGCTAAAAGCAATCTACAGATTTTGCGTTTTTAACAAGCTCCAAAGTGATGTCAATGCTGCTGATATGAGAACCACACTTTGAATGGAAGGCATTAGAATTTGTTCATTAGAATCTCCTGGGGAGCTTTTAAAATAAAATTGATGCAGAGTTGTACCCAACAAATTAAATTAGAAATCTTCTTTGGTGATACTTATGTGAAACTCGGTTAAGAGCCTTGACAAAATGGGATTCTTTCTACCATAGGGAGTCAGTAACAGACTTTGACCTATGTCTCCCTTACAGCCATCACATAGTTTAGGTTGTAACTGAAAACCCCCAAATTATGATCAGGATCTCTTGTGATAACCAGGAGAAGAAACTAGAATGCTTTAAATATGATCTTTTTGAATATTCTCTTACACATTTCAACCCTTTAGTCCTGGCTAAGAATTGGAATACAGAAGAAAGGGAAACCTGGAGTGATTATGATAATAGCTAAAATCTATTGAACAATTACAATGTGCCATGCATTGTTCAAAATATTTCACATGCATTATCTTATTTTACCCTTACATTTTACCTTGTGAGGTAGGTACTATAATTTTCTTCCTATTATAGAATGAACAAAGTGTATAGAGAGGAGAAATGACTTGTTCAAAATCATATAGCTAGTAACTGGTCCAGTTGGGATTTGAAGCTAGACAGTGAGGCTCCAGGGTCCCAGAGAAGCTGATACCCACCAGTACCTGCTTCCTGTAGTCTATAGTCTGTTTCTGCCAGACCTTCTGCCACAAGTCCCGAACTGATCTTCTATCCTTGGGGAGTGGAGCTGGATGCCACCCAAATCTTCAAGGCCCTTATGTTAGTCTCCTCAAACATACCCAAGCCTAGTAAGAGTGATTCTGTATCCTCTTGACACACTCTTGTCTTACTTTCCAGGGGTCTGTTGATGTTAGAGGCTCCTCTGAGCTGTCTTATTCTGATTGCTTGAGCTGAAAGAGAAAGACCCAAGAAGCACGTTTTTAAACCCCACTTTTTCTCTCTGAATGCTCTGGCCTCTTGGACCTGAGTTTTCTAGTGTCCTTAATCCTCATCCAAGTTCCTCTCCTCTCCTCGAAGATGGATATAGGAAAAACTAATGTTAGACTGAAATTGAGCAGGATGTTTCACCAACTGACCATGTACTTAACCTCTGTTACCCTTTTTGTTTTTAATAGTGATTGAGTTTCATTGAAGCTTCCAGCGATTTGAGTGCCTTAAAAATTCTTTGTTAACATAATGCCTTTTGAATACTAAGTGTCAGGAAAGCCTATTTTTAATTTATCAATGGCACCCTTAGTCTTAATATGCTTAAGCATACTTTACTTTTGAGGGGAGAATTAATCTTTTATCACATGTACCATAGATGCTGTTGGTTTCATTATTTTAGGAAAATGTTCTTATGATTGTTTTAGCATTAATGCTACTCACATACCTCTTTTTTCCAATATCTGTTCAGCATAGATAAGGAAGATACAAAAAGAGTCACCCATACTGAAAGCTAATGCCAAAGAGATGTAAGTTGCTATTGTTTGAAAAACTAACAAAGATGTTAAATTTATCAATTTCCTCTTGACTGTGAAGAAAGTGAATCTGAAATTAAGCATATGATGGAGAATATTTGGACTTTCTTTTATAAGCTGCATCTTTGGGAAACCATGAATAAAATTTAAGCACAATTACAGGAAGATAATTTTATAAATGGAAATTTTTTGGAGATGGGAGAGATAAAAGAGGAATTTTATTCTGCCGTTCATTTAAAGCAGGGCTACTTAGAAATATAAAACACTGTCAGTGTTAACTTCTTTGAAGCACTGGGGCCTCAAGTTTTCACATGCTTAAGAGTCACTTGGGGGCTTGTTGAAAATACAGTTCCTTGGGTCCCACTCCTTTCAGCTCTAAGTTTTTCATATAATAAAACTTGGGATTGTAATATTCAAGTTATTAGTCATGATTCTCCACAGAAACAGAACCATTAGGAGATTGTCTGTATGTCTGTCTATATATCTTTCTAGACGTTGTTGTAAGGAATTGGCTTACATGATTATAGAGACTGAGAAGTTCCAAGATCTCCATTTGGCAGTCTAGAGTCCCAGGAGAGCCAGTGGTATAGTCTCAGTCCAAGTCTGAAGGCCTGAGAAGTACAAAAACTGATGGTGTAAATTTCAGTCCAAGTTTGAAGACCTGAGAACTGGGAGAGCCAATGGTGAAAGTTCCAGTGCATGTCTAAATCAAAGGCAGGAGAAGACTGATCTCCTGCTTGGAAGATAGTCAGGCAGAGAGAGCACCAGTTCTCCCTTACACTGACTTTTTGTTCTATTCAGGCCTTTGACAGACTAGATGAAGTTTCTCTCCATTGAAGAAGGCAATCTGCTTCACTCAGTCTACTGATTCAGCTGTTAATATCATTCAGAAACTCTCTCACAGGAATACCCAGAATGTTTAACCAAATATTTGGGCACCCCATGACATAGTCAAGTTGATATAGAAAATTAACCATGGTACAGATCAAAGCTGAGTCACTGGTGTAAAAATGTGCCTCCTCCCACTTCTTTAAAAAAAGACTTCATAAGACATATGAACTATATCAGAAAATAAAGCCACTAGTACAATGACATTTAAAAAATCAGTATATTAAAATGATACAAATATACCCTTTGTCTAAAAATAAAGTAGAAGTAAAAGGTATGATGGAGTACATGAAAAGAAGGAGAAAATGCATTTATTTATTTCTATATTTTCTACTAAGTGCCAGGGATTATTCTAGGTGCCAATGGGGAACTAAGTGGTTTTCTGGGTCATAAGACTTTTCAGTGCTAAGACTGAGACTGTCTGAGGCAAATCAGAATGGTTGGTTATTCTAAGGGAGAGGGAGAGAAGAGTTATTTTGAGAGGGGAAGACTGACAAACCAATATGTGAGTAAGTGTGTAATGTGATCAGTAGTGATAAGTGTTATGAAGAAAATCAAAGTGTGGTGAGATACAGAGAGGGACTAGGAGAGTTATTTAGGAGCCGTGCAATTATATCTGATCACCTAGGGAATTAAGTAAGACGGAAAAGAGAAATAATGAGCTGAGGACTGAGATGAGGTAGGCTCAACCAAGTGACCAAGAGCCAACAGTAAGGAAGGGGGAAAGCGATGATAGTTGATACAAGAAGCAAATGAATGAATTGTTTCCAGAAGAATCATCAGTTGTGTCAGATGCTGCTGAAATGCTGGGATAATTCAGATTGACCATTTAATTGATAGGATGGTGACAATGAATGAGAGGGACAAAAACTTGATTACTGTGAGATCAAGAGACAGTGGAAAATGTGTATATTAGGTTGCTGGGGCTGTTAGAACAAAGTACCACACACTGAGTGGCTTAAACAATAGAAATGTATGGTGTCACAGTTCTAGAGCCTGGAAGTCCAAGATCAAGGTGTTGGCAGGACCATGTTTCTTCTGAAGTGCTGGGAAAGGATCTGTTCCAGGCCTCTTGCCTAACTTCTGGCAGTCTTTTTGGCAATCAAGTGTGCCTTGGCTTGTGCAGCATAACTCTAGTCGTCACATGGCATTCTCCCTGTGTGTGCATGTCTGCTCCACCAGTTATGTTGAATTGGGAGCCCACTCCACTCCAGTACAACTTCATTCTAACTTAACTATTTACAACTATAGCTGCCCTGTTTCCAAATAAGATCACATTCTGAGGTACTGAGGTTTAAGATTTCAAAATATGAATCTTAAGGAAACATAATTCAACCCATAAAAATGTAGTATATCCATACAATGGAATATTTTTCAGCCTTGAAAAGTAAGGAAATTCCGACACATATTATGACATGGATGAACCTTGAAAACATTATGCTTAGTGAAAGAAGCCAGTCACAAATGGTCACAAATTGTGTAGTTCTTTTTATATGAAGTGTTCAGAATAGGAAAATCCAGATTGCCAGGCTTGGAGGCAGTGGGAAATAAGGGAATGACCGTTAATGGGCATGGGGTCTTTGCGGGGCAGTGAACATGTTCTGTAATTAGATATCGGTAATGGTGCATAACCTTGCGAATATACTGAACTCTGTACTCTTTGAAAGGGTGAATTTTATGGTATGTGAATTAAATGTCAGTAAAAAATATATATATTAGTTGGGTGTGATTGCTTACCCCTGTAATTCCAGTACTTTGGGAGGCCAAGGAGGCTGGACCACTTAAGGTCAGGAGTTTGAGACCAGCCTGGCCAACATGGTGAAATGTCGTCTCCACTAAAAATACAAAAAACAAAACAACAACAACAACAAAAACAAACCAAAAAAACTAGCTGGACGTGGTGATGCATGCCTGTAGTCCCAGCTACCGGGGAGGCTGAGGCAGGAGAATCAGTTGAACCTGGGAGGCGGAGGTTGCAGTGAGTCGAGATTGTGCCACTGCACTCCATCCTGGGCAACACATGAGTCTCTGTCAAAACAAAACAAAACAAAGCAAAAAACCCAAAAGCCAGCCAAACAAATATGTATGTGTATGTGTGTGTGTGTATACACACAGAGGGAGGAGAGAAGGTAAAGAAGTGGAGGTAGCCACTGTCAACATCTCTGAAGAAGTATAAAAACATGGGGTGATGAGAAGTGGATGTAGGGTCAAGAGATGACTTTTAAAATACAGGAATATTATAGCATGTTTGTATGCTGATTCAAACAATCTAACAGGGCAGGAAATAGTAATGATGAAAGGTGGGGCTGAGGGATTTTCAGGAGCCAAATCCTTGAGTTCACTGGACTATCACCTTGAATAACTTCATCAATGTCTTTTCCCTAGGTGACAGATCAGTCGGTGAAAGCATTTGCTGAACACTGTCCTGAGCTTCAATATGTAGGCTTCATGGGTTGTTCAGTCACTTCTAAAGGAGTCATTCACCTAACCAAGGTAGGTACTATGGCTGCTTTTCCTTGGTATTTTTGAGTATCATACAGGTGATGAGCCCTAAATTGTTAAAGTTACTTGAATAAGGGATAGTCAGACCATTATGGAAGTCTACTAGTGTTTGATAAAAGTTAGAATGAGTTGAAGAAAGCAATACTAAACTTACCCTTTCTGAAACGGAATACTCATTTAAACAAGAAGCTTTTTGCTTTTTCATTGCTAATGGCTATGAAATATATATCAAAGAAATATATGTGACCAGACTCATTTAAATGTTAATGTATTGTGCTTAGAAGATATTTTGATTGAATTTTAAGTGCTCATATATCACTAGATCCTATGAGTATTTGACTTTAAAAAGTGAATATGGTCAGTGCATATGATCAAGCTGAATATGTAAGGTGAAAAGAGAGGTCAATATATGACAAAAATTTACATTGTGGCTCAGAGAGTTCACTAATATAACAATTATATGAAATTTCATATTTTTAGAAATGATCAAACTGCCAGTTCTTAAGTAATCTCTCACTGATGTGTCATCTTTACTGCTTTCCAGAACTTTAAAATAATTAGAAACCAATTCTTATATCTGTGTAATGGAAAAACTGGCTACTATAAAATTTACCTGTGTGTTATGTGAAATTTGTTACTATATGAATTTCAATTCTATCCTGTAGTGCTTAGGAAAATGAATGTGAGTCTTGCCTTTTCCAACTTATAGCTGAGCAATCATTTCCTTCAACCTTGCTTCATTTCACAACTATTAGAAAGTTGCTATATTGACAACACAATGATGAATAAAACTAGGTAAGATACCAGGTCTCTTTCGGTTTGATGTCTTCGGATCACTTTGAGCTTACAGTTTAATGGCAAATAATGTCTTTCTTTACTCCCTAGGAAAAGAGTAAATGTATATGAGTTACCTAGGACTATGGTAGGGTCATACAGTGAATAGGACCCTGGGTGCCATTATAACCTCAGGTTGGATTATTGGGTCTATCAGTTAGCTAAGTGGGAAAATTATCTTTTAGGGTATTAAATAAGGTAATATATATAAGGTATTTGATTCAGAATAGAGACCACAGTAAATGCTAAGTAAATGTTAGCTATTAATATTAAAACAGATGTGGGCCAGGCACAGTGGATCACCCCTGTAATCCTAGCACTTTGGGAGGCCAGGACAGGTGGATCGCTTGAGGGCAGAGGTTCGAGATCAGCCTGGCCAACGTGATGAAACTCCATCTCTACTAAAAGACAAAAATTACCTGGGCATAGTGGCATGGTGGCTGTAATTCCAGCTACTTGGGAGGTTGAGATGGGAGAATTACTTAAACCTGGGAGGCAGAGGTTGCAGTGAGCCGAGTTTGCGCCACTGCACTCCAGCCTGGGCGACAGAGTGCAACTCCATCTCAAAAACAAAAAACAGATGCCATAGTATCTAAATTGCTAGAAAATTAGTACAAAGTTTGATTTTAAGAAATCAAATCACTATTCTAGTCTAGTGTATCTGAAAGAGAGCCTGTGGTTATACTATGTCTTAAAGGACTGATTAATTTTATTGTGAGGATCAGAGCCTAAAGCTAGAGGAGAGGATAGGCCTGTCATTCTCAATTATTGCTCTATCAGAACATCTTAGTGTAACCAAGACCATACAAGATCATATGTAACCATAATTTTTAATTCATTTCCTATAACCTTGGCCTGAACATCTTGGTAGATGACTGTTTTTCTAGTCACATCTAATGCTGTTTATGGTGTAGAGTAAAAATGCCTTTGGTTGAACAGATTGTGCACAACAAGTGTTGTGATGGCCATATGTGGGCTTTTTATGATCACTTGAAATTGTACTCATTAAAGACAAAACAAGACTTATTAGATCAGTAAGTGCTTCCCAGAATATTTTGAGATGGCCAAAAATTATGGTACACTGGTACTTAAAAGATCACAATTATTCTCTGTGATAAAATACAGCTATAGCAAATGTCTGCAGTGGGAAACTCAATTTGCTGAGATGGTTCTTCTGAAGATTATAGGCAAGGATTGCTGGTTTGGTCTATCAACAATCAGAATCTATTGGACTCATATTAGAGTTAGTCCACAAAGTTTTGAGGAACATCTTTGTTCTTCAACAGAACCTTTCTTTGATGAGAAAACTGGTGTGTACAACTAAGCAATGAACGTTGGTTGGTTTTGTGGATTCAAGTAAAGGCAAAAGAGGACATTTTATACATGCATCGGTTCTGCAAAGCTATTTTAATTGGTTTATCTCTTGAAAACCAAGGGTAGACTCAGTTTTTAATAAAATTAATGCTTTTAATTTTATGAGATTTGTGTTCTGGCAGTGTTTTCATACCAGCTACTAAGACATTCACAAAAATGTTTGCAATCATATAAACACCACTTAAAAAGTTGTATTTTCCTTTTCATCATAGTACATAATAAATAAGCAAGAAGATGTGAGATATAGAATATTGAGAGTTATCAGCCTAAATATGTTTTTACATGATTTAGAAAATCTCTCTAACACATGATGTCACTAAATCTCTGGCTTTCTAAGTTTGCTAAGAGAGGCAAGGAGCCTAAAATCTCTGTACCTTAGTTTCCTGTCTTTGAAATTATGTGCCTGTATTAGATGATCTGTCTTCAGATCTGGAGTTTCTTGCACCTTGAATAATCTATGAATTTAGGAATCATTGGCCTAGAAGGGACTGTGAGGGGCTCTCATGGAAACTAAGAAATATCAAGTCTAATTTAGTAGGTTAGAAGGGAAGATTGGGGATTTGTGACATCTTAGATTTTTAAATCAAGGGCAAGAAAACAGAGGATTGGGAATAGATGGAAGGACATTGATATCCTCTTGTGGTTCCTTGGATTTAATTTTGTTTTGATTTCCTCAGGCTTGACTGGATTCCTATTTACTTTGTAATATTTACTGATAACACACTATTATTACTTAGATTCTGCTAATATCAAGCAATATTGGGATAAGAAGCCTTTCTGAGCTGCTGTGACTGTGTAAATGAGAGTCCAGAAAACCAGACTGAATGTACACAGGTTGATAAGATAAAGTCAGATTTATGGGACCGTTTGGAAACTTAGAGGTCTATATTTAGGAAGCAAAGATAAGAATTTTTGAGGTCTAAATTTAATAGTTAAGAGTATTAGTGACTTGTATGTGGCAGAATTGGGTCTACTCTAACACAAGTATGTTCTTTTCATTGTCCTGTACATACTATATAAATATAAATCTGTATATCTTGCTCTCTCTCCCACTTTTAAAAACAAGTTTGGCAAATGCAAATATATAGTTACCTTCAGTGTTTAGACTGTGGGATCTGCATGTCATTTGCTACTAAAGAGACTAGAAGGAACATGTCAAAGGACCCAAAAGCCAATGTGAAATGGCTCCTACTGACTTAGGCTGGGATATTTTGAGCGTTGAAAAGGAAGATTCTGCAATGAATTAAAAGAAATAAAATATATAAAAATGGGTTTATAATGATATAAGCAAAACGAAGCTGGACTTCTTTCGGCTTAGGTGGCATAACAGGGGCCAAATTTACTCTTTCCTGAAACAACTTTAAAAAAACAGACAAAATATAGGAAACAGTGGTTTTTAAGACACTGGATATCAGGCAACCAAGGACAATGATCCCTATGATATGGGAAACAGGCAAGAGGAGCTCTGTGATTGTCTCAGTTTACTGCATTTAGTTTCCAGACTTCAGCACAAGGAGGGGGTAAATCAGGTAACAAACAGCAGACTGTCTGAGTTGAGAAAACAGAACAGAAAGGCCAGGGAGACCAAAACAGCCAGATTTCAGGGACTGAATACTGGAGGGAACTGCATAGAGAATCCCAGGGATCAGTGGATGACCCTCCTTATGCATTCAATCCTAAATAACCCGTGAGTAAAGCCAAAATCAAAAGAGAAATTAGAAAGTATTTTGAAATGAATGAAAATGAAAACACAATGTATCAGATTTAGTGTGATGCTACTAACGTACTACTTAGATAAAAATAATGAAACAAATACCAATACGAGAAAAAAGAAAGATTTCAATTATGACTTCAACTTCCATTTTATAAAATTTGAGAAAGAAGAGCAAATTAAATCCAAAGTAAGCAAAAAAAAAAAAAAAAAAAAAAAAAAAGTAAAGATTAAAGAGGACATCAATGAAATGGAAAGCAAAAAGAAGAGAGGAAATTAATGAAACCAAAAGCTAGCGATTTGATAAGACAGATAAAATTGATAAATCTCAAAAAAATATTGCCAATGTTGTAGCTCAGAGGGTTGACAAAACTACAGATACTACAGGTATTAAAAGGATAACAAGGGCATATTATTAACATCTTTTTTTTTTTTTTTTTTTTTTTTTTGAGATAGAGTTTTGCTCTTGTTGCCCAGGCTGGAGTGCAGTGGGATCTTGGCTCACTGCAACCTCTACCTCTCAGGTTCAAGCAATTCTCCCACCTCGGCCTCCCAAATATCTGGGACTACAGGCACCCGCCACCATGCCCAGCTAATTTTTTGTATTTTTAATAGAGACGGGGTTTCACCATGTTAGCCAGGCTGGTTTCGAACTCCTGACCTCAGGTGATCCACCCACATCAGCCTCTCAAAGTGCTGAGATTACAGGTGTGAGCCACCACATCCGGCCAGTGAACATCTTTAGGCCTATCAATTCAAAAATTTAGATGAAATGGAAAATTTATTTGAAAAACACAAACTACCAAAGCTCACTTAAGAAGAAATAGATAACTTGAATACCCCTGTGTTTCTTAAAGAAATTGCATCTGTAGTTAAAAATTTTCCACTAATACTCCCATCCCAGATGACTTCACTGTTGAATTTTGCCAAATATTTAAGAAAGAAATAATACCAATTCAACACAAGTCTTCTAGAAAAAAGACTATTATTACCCACGTTAAAAAACTTGATAAAGACACTAAGTGAAGAAAATTGAACATCACTATTTTTCATGAACATAGATTCAAAAATT